GAACTGTTCTTTTCAACAGGATTTTTGCAAGGTCAAAGGCTTGTTTATTAAGGTTCTAGAAGAAAAGGAAAAAATGTTTAAGAAAATTACGCTTGTTATCAAGCAATTTATGCTAGTCATTTCTGAACAGAAGGTGTGAAGCAAACTCTAAAGTATGCTATCTATGCATGAGTGTGATAGGTAGACAGACATTTTTTTTAATAAAATTTTTATTAATTTTTGTAGTTGAACAGCAAATACCAATATGATGCATTTACATACCCAAGCAAAAAAGATAATCCTACATGAGTGTGATAGGTAGACAGACATTTTTAATCTTGCCTTTTTACCAGTGAAAAACAGGTAGAAAAAGTGGGGGGGGGGGAATGACAAGCTTCTCCCCCACCCCATGTGAATGAACCTTACATTCATGAATGTTACTACAAATCTGTCCTTTTATAAATAGCAGAATATGATTCAGCAACATTCTGGCTCTGTGTGTGTGTTTGTGTTGGTGTGGGTGTAAAATCTTCCTAAATCCATTATTTAACCTTCTTTTTTTGGGGGGGACAGGGACAATTCCAAGTTGGCAATATAATACCAAGAGTTCTCCAGAACTGAACAAAATTTAAACAGCGGCCTTAAGTCTCGTGAGTCTATCAAGCTCTGTAATCTTTCAAGATTTTTCGCATCGTTGCACGATGCACCTCGTGACTTAACAAATCGCTAACCTCCGTTTTAAAATAACTTTTTTTAAAAAAAACAAACAACACAACCCTAGCAGGATCACAAATTATTAACGTCCCTAATTATATACTAATGGCAAAATGTAAGTAAAATACAGGCTGGTGCCTAGTTCCTGTCTTTATCAACGTGCCCCCTTGTAATTTTTCTGAACATCTTTGCATTTCAAAATAAGATCTATGCACCTATGAAAGTTGCAATGGGAGTAAGAGAAAGGAAAGATTGGCAGGAGGCCAGCAAGTTTTCCATTATTTTGGCAACACGTCCTGCAAGACTGAGGTGGGGAACTTGTGGACTTCAACTCCCAGAATTCCTGAGCCAGCCATGCTGGCTCAGGAATTCTGGGAGTTGAAGTCCACAGGTCATAAAAGGGCCATCGTTCCCCACCCCTGCTGTAAGAGGAGACTAAAAATTTCTATTCCAATACTGTTTGCTCAAAAGGGGAAAGCAATGGAAGCACCGAGTGGGGAAGCACTAATAAAGAAAATTATGTATTGCGCAGAACTAGACAAGATAACTAAAAGACTTAAAAAATCAGGAAGAAACAGAATTTTATCGAATCTGGAATAAATTCTACAAATGGAGGGAAAAAAGAATGGGGTCAACAGCAAAGATATAAATAGAGGCAGATACTAAGAAAGCACAGCTGTATATAGATATATCATATGTAGTTAATGTATAGCATGGACTGACAAGACAGAGATGTATATCAAAGACGATTTATCATGTTCAATGTTTTTAATCTTTTTTTTTCTCTTTTGTATTCAATAAAAATTAAAAAAAAATAAAATTTCTATCCCAAGAGTGCAAGAGCATTTTTTTTGTCTTTGCAAACCTTGTGTGCAGGAATGAGGTTGATAAGAATGGAGTCCAACAGTTCTTGAGTCACCCCGTCGCCTTCCATGATGATAGAACTCATCAAATCTAGCATATGCATTTGGACCTTCTGATTGTGGCTATTGCTAAATACAATAGGAAAATTAGATTATTAGCACTCGATTAAAACAACTTGTTGCTGAATTTTAGTCAATAATCTTTTCCACTTGTTTTTTTTTTTTAAATGACCAGTTACCCTAAAGCAGGGGTGTCAAACACAATTTCATTGAGGGCCGCATCAGCATTGCGGTTGCCCTCGGGGGGGGCGTAGGGGAGCAACCTACTGGGTGGGCGTGGATGGAGTGGGTGTGGCCTGCTGGGTGGGTGTGGCCAACGCTACATCATTCGCGTCAAGGGTGCCTGTGGGGGCCTGGGCAGGCGTGGGACAGATCTGAGGGTCTCTGGCAGAAGGGGGTGGGACCGGGGCAAGCGCCAAGGCATGGTCCATTTCTTCATTCCTCACAAAGGGTGACACCTCCCCAGCATGCACCCAGGGGACCGGGCCGACGCGACAGGGGCCGGTTCCTCGCTGTTTCCAGACGGCCTTGTGGAGCTAAGACTGAATGCGTTTCAGCATAGATGGCCACCACAAAATTGTACACTGGCTCCTGGCCAGCCTAGGCCAGACCCAAGGCAGCGGGGGCCGTTCCCTCACTGTTTCCAGGATGGCTTCGCGGGCCACATGAAACCACTTCGCGGGCCGCATCCGGCCCCCGGGCCTTGTGTTTGACATGTCTGCCCTAAAGATTGATGTGCAACGTTGCTAATAGTGTTTTTATAAAGCTGTAATAAAACACAATTATGTTGCAGAAGTACAGTATATCTTTAGTAGCACCACAGAATTAACATATTTGCACATGCACCTTTCCGAAACTGCACAACAGGCACGAGTACTCCAACTTACTTGATCACTGAAAAGAGGGTCCTAAAAAGCTGAATAAAAATTTCATTGCAATCTTCCAACTCAAAGCAGATGTTGTAAGATTTAACCCACGCTAAGTTCTACAAAAAAAAAAACCACAAAAAAACCAAGGCATTAATATTATCATTTCAATTCAACTACATGTATATGGCAAAAGGTCAGCATAACCTCAAACATAACTTGCCAATGAGGAAACACTGGTTTGTTGGGGGAAAAAAGCATCATAACATTTTTGTATGCTTTGATATTCATGATTAAAAAAGGTCGAACACCAAGAGTAAAAAGTACAAAAGTGTTAAAATTTATTGGGCCAAGCTTTCGCCGGAAACGTCCGGCATCATCAGCCAACATGGCACCTCGAGGTGCCGGCTCACGGACAAACAAAGGTGGATTCAGTGACCAAATGGACGAGAACTGTGGGAGCACCCTTTCCCCTGGGTCAGAAAGGACTGGATCCTGCGACAACTTGGGCAGACACTCCAGAGGAGTATTGCATACGAGGCTAGATGTTTTGCCCACGACTTCATCAAATTACCTGGGTCCAATGACGCGATCACGGTACCGGATGCAGACTGCAGACTCCAACGCTATATAAGACTCCTCCCATATTGCTGTATCATGGCCCTGATGATGCCGGACGTTTCCGGCGAAAGCTTGGCCCAATAAATTTTAACACTTTTGTACTTTTTACTCTTGGTGTTCGACCTTTTTTAATCATATATATATATATATATATTATATAGCCTTAAATTGTCTTCAACACAAACGGAACGAGTGTTTATTAAGCTACGATGTTCATTAGTAGCACAATGGAAGTTTTCTTGAGCACCGATACGTACTTGATTTAATTCGATGAAAATGCTTACCTCTAATAAGTAAAAGTATCTATTAAACTGAGGGCTTTTAGTGTCCTCTAATCCTTTTAACTGTCTTGTAATAAACAAAAATATATCCTGCAAAACAAGAAGAGAGGTTATTATTATTTTTAAATGAATTATGCTATCGGTAGAGTTCTATCTTGGGTTTTTTTTTTTGCAATTTAAGTGATACTCCCAGCAACTAAGAAAATTCACAAGACCTTTGTCCAGGTGTAATGATTAAACCGCAGTGGCGCTTAAAAGTTTGTGAAGGCTTTTGAGTTCACCATTTCTTCCCCAGAGCCATTCCACCGTGGTGGAGACCATCAGACAGGAATCTCTGGTAGAATTCTGAGCAAATGAGAGAAAGCTGTATTTGCTCAACGTGGATGGTGCCTTTATAGCCACCTATGTCTGCACCCTTCCTTTTCCAATCAATAAGGCATCATTTTAAGACAGTGGTTCTCAACCTTTTTAATGCCGCGACCCCAACTGGTCGTAAGTCGAGGACTAAACCGGTCGTAAGTCGAGGACTACCCAACCGGTCGTAAGTCGAGGACTTTCCCTGCCCGGGAGCGCCGCGCATGCGTGGTTCCGCCCCCTGCGCCGGCCGAGGCGTAGCTGGGAAGCGGCAGAGACGGAGCAGGCCGACCACCAGCTGGCCCAGCCCAAGGGAGGTAAGGCACCTGCCGGAAAAGGGGGAAAAATGGCGGACAAAAAAAATGGCGGACAGCCATGCTTGGCGACCCCCGTGAAATGGTCGATCGACCCCAAATGGGGTCCTGACCCACAGGTTGAGAACCACTGTTTTAAGAGAAGGTGATCCGTTACTAGAATCGTCTATAGTTGTGACGAAGGGGAAAGTCGTTTTTTTATATCTTTTTCTTTGCTACATTCTTTTTTTTTTTTTGAACAACTTTTATTGGTTTTTCAGGTTTTTACATCCAGGTGCTTAGGAAGCAGCGTGGTGACAGGTTAATCAATAGTCCAATAACAAAATCATTCATGCATATCTCAGGTTACATCAATAAGGATTCCTTCTCTAGTTCCCTTAAATATTATATCATGTTCATATTAATACATTTCTAACTAAAGCTCAGTCAATCAATACATTTAGCAATGACATTTTACTTATACATATCCAAACATTCTTATCTTTGTCCTGCTTTTTCTTTTCTGCATCTTCTATTTATTTTTTTTGTTCAGTTCTTTTTTGGGGGGGGGTCGTATGAGTTTTTGCCTTTTCACTCGTGATGCTTAATAAAAATGACCGCTGGAAAAATGTTTTAATTATTTTTTGCGTCAATGTGACTCAGGCACGATCAATAGGACAGGTCAAATATGACCTGTTCTCTACACAAGTCCTAAAACTAGATCAAGAGAAGCCAATGAAGCAAACGAAGTTGTAATCTACAAAGATCTCTTAATGCTAGCTCCTCCCTATATTGAAATATCTTATAGGGAAAGGTATTTAAGCGCCACTATATGGCTCAAGCTTACACGATCAAAGCGATATATGTTTTGAATTCATATACTCTTCCCCCCCTTAGCTGGCACTATCTGAAATTCTGCATTTCTGACTCACGTGGTTTGCTTGAGTAGCCATCAAACTGAGGCTAAAATTAAACTAATTTTAGTCAGACATACAAGCTTAATTTTTTTTTCCAACAAAAAAACAATGTAAATGTTTCTATTTCCTCTCCCTTTGGAAGAGGAAGCTGCAAGATTAATAGTTGCCTCAGTTTGTTCAGATAACTCTTAATCCTGGTTTATGATAATAATAATAATAATAATAATAATAATAATAATAATAATAATAATAATAATAATAATAATAATAATGATGATGATGATGATGATAAAGTTGGAAGGGACCTTGGAGGTCATCTAGTCCAACCCCCTGCTCAGGCAGGAAACCCTACACCATTTCAGACAAATGGCTGTCCAGTCTCTTCTTGAAAACTTCCAGTGTTGGAGCATTCACCGCTTCTGGAGGCAAACCATTCCACTGGTTGATTGTTCTCACTGTCAGGAAGTTTCTCCTTAGTTCCAGGTTGCTTCTCTCCTTGATCAGTTTCCACCCATTGCTTCTTGTTCTGCCTTCGGGTGCTTTGGAGAATAGCTTGACTCCCTCTTCTTTGGGGCAGCCCCTGAGATACTGGAACACTGCTATCATATCCCCCCTCGTCCTTCTCTTCCTTAAACTAGACCTACCCAATTCCAGCAACCGTTCCTTGTATGTTTTAGCCTCCAGTCCCCTAATCATCTTTGTTGCTCTTCTCTGCACTCTTTCTAGAGTCTCAGCATCTTTTGATGTTGAGCCTCAAATTTCTGTTGCTAAGTGAGATGGCTGTTAAATGGGTTTTGCCCCATTTTACCACCTTCCTTGCCCCTGCCGTTAAGTGAAAAGTCATCAAATGGGGCAAAATTTCACTTAACACGTTCCTCACTTAGCAACAGAAATGTTGGGCTCAATTGTGAGTTTCACTTAACACGTTCCTCAGTTAGCAACAGAAATGTTGGGCTCAATTGTGAGTTTCACTTAACACGTTCCTCAGTTAGCAACAGAAATGTTGGGCTCAATTGTGAGGACTACCTGTATCCATTATCAAGGTGCTCTTTGTATTCAGTCACGGATCATACCGTGTGATGTTTCATTTCCTCTATTTTTCTTTCTTTCTTTCCTTCCTTCCTTCCTTCCTTCCTCCCTCCCTCCCTCCCTCCCTCCCTCCCTCCCTTCCTATTCCTGCTTCATGGAGTTAGGTGGATCTGCAGCTTCCTGAAACAGATCAGGATCCTCTTTGATGTGTGGTCCAAAGACTCAGCTCCCTGTTCTGGGATGCTGTGAGGGTTCTGCTCTTTGCTTGTGCTCCCCGTAGCCAGCGTTGCGCCTAAGTCCCTCGTCCTTCTACAGCTACGTATCTGTTTCTGACTTAGCGAGACAACAATCATTTCTTTGAAAATCCCAAGAGCCCAAAAGTGGTGGAAATAATTCGTTAATTTACCTTGAGTTTGTCGTGTGAAGTATACGGTGCTTCAGGGGCATAAATTCGAAATATATCAGCCAAACAACAAGCTACAAGGAGACGGACATCTTTATTGGGGTTCCTGAGGAAGAATTCGGACGCAAGGTGCAAGGCTAAAGGGAGATACTGTTGTTTCTCATCGTCTGAATCCTGGTCCATGTCCATAAATGTTTTCACTACCATCTAGGAATCAACAAAAGAAGAGAAACATTTCCTATTTTCATTCAAACTGGAATATATACAATGAGTAAAGGCAGTCAAGCCTATCCATGTAACTGCAGTCCCCACAGAAAGGCAGGGATAATGACTTTTATTGTACTTCCTTAATTACTTATAAACAAGAGCTATCAAGGTCTTCAGCATATCATCTGTGCAGATTAAAAGATGTTTTTCCTCTTCTTTTTTTTTTTATTAAAAGTTTTATGAAGATTACAGTATAAACCCCCATATCCACCCCAACCCCCCCTCCCCCACTTCCCAGAGCTGAACACAGGGTTACAAATATAATCATCAAATTCTATCTGACATTAACCAACTATTAAAGTAACCAAATCCATAATGCGCTTTGACTCCCCTTTAACACAAATTTAAGCGAATTAAAATTAAACGTATTCATCACCTAAGTCAGTGGTTCTCAACCTTTTTAATGCCGCGACCCCAACCGGTCGTAAGTCAAGGACTAAACCGGTCGTAAGTCGAGGACTAAACCGGTCGTAAGTCGAGGACTAAACCGGTCGTAAGTCAAGGACTATCCAACCGGTCGTAAGTCGAGGACTTTCCCTGCCCGGGAGCGCCGCGCATGCGTGGTTCCGCCCCCTGCGCCGGCCGAGGCGTAGCTGGCAAGCGGCAGAGACAGAGCAGGCGAACCACCAGCTGGCCCAGCCCAAGGGAGGTAAGGCACCCGCCGGAAAAGGGGGGAAAAAATGGCGGACAAAAAAAATGGCCGACAGCCTTGCTTGGCGACCCCCATGAAATGGTCGATCGACCCCAAATGGGGTCCCGACCCACAGGTTGAGAACCACTGACCTAAGTATTAAACAATACAATACTAATGTTAAAAATAATAGTAATATCATATAATTAAAACTAACAAAAATTCCATTAAAATAAACTATTAATAATAACAATGCTCTAGAGTTTACTCATAACCCAAATGAAACTTTTTAGTCCCATATTTATTCTGAATATAATCTACCCATCTTCTCCAGACCGCGATGTATCTTTCTTGTGATTGATCCTTCAAATAAGCGGAAATTTTAGCCATTTCCGCTAAATTTGACACTTTAAGCGTCCATTCTTCTATAGCAGTGGTTCTCAACCTGTGGGTCGGGACCCCATTTGGGGTCGATCGACCATTTCATGGGGGTCGCCAAGCAAGGCTGTCCGCCATTTTTTTTGTCTGCCATTTTTTTTGTCCGCCATTTTTTCCCCTTTTCCGACGGGTGCCTTACCTCCCTTGGGCTGGGCCAGCTGGTGGTCGGCCTGCTCCATCTCTGCCGCTTGCCAGCTACGCCTCGGCCGGCGCAGGGGGCGGAACCACGCATGCGCGGCGCTCCCGGGCAGGGAAAGTCCTCGACTTATGACCGGTTGGGTAGTCCTCGACTTACGACCGGTTTAATCCTCGACTTATGACCGGTTTAGTCCTCGACTTACGACCGGTTGGGGTCGCGGCATTAAAAAGGTTGAGAACCACTGTTCTATAGCCTCTTCTTTAACATATTCTTAGTCGCTGGGCAGAATAACTAAGCCTGTCTCCTGATTATAGAGCTAGAGGCTTGGACATTACAGTAAAGAAGCATTTCCTTGCCCTGTAACTCCATTCAAACCCGCTAAATTCTGTTTCTTACCGTTCAATGTATTGGGTCCCAAACAGGTTCTGCAATAAGAACGTCGGAAAACCTGATGCTTTTTTTTGACTCGTCACTAGCTACTGGTTCATTCAATCTTAGACATAAAGCCTGAGGCACCACTGCATTTCAGAACTGTCCAGGTATTATTTCTCCTTTCTTGGTTTTTACATCGGGGGTGTCAAACTGCTGGCCTGCGGGCCGGAGGCGCCACGCGGAAGCCGCACCCGCCCCGTTGCCGGCAATGGCAAAACCGTCCCGAGAGGTCGCGAGTTTGACATGTCTGATTTACGTAGTGCCCCCCACTATACCTGCCCTGGCCCATGAACCATCCATCTCTTCTTTCCAAAAGCCAAAAAGCCTTGCTCCCATCTCCACTTTATAATAATAATAAAGTTGGAAGGGACCTTGGAGGTCATCGAGTCCAACCCCCTGCTCAGGCAGGAAACCTTACACCATTTCAGACAAAGGGCTGTCTAGTCTCTTCTTAAAAACTTCCAGTGTTGGAGCATTCACTGCTTCTCGAGGCAGGTTGTTCCACTGGTTAATTGTTCTCACTGTCAGGAAGTTTCTCCTTAGTTCCAGATTGCTTCTCTCCTTGATTAGTTTCCACCCGTTGCTTCTTGTCCTGCCTTCAGGCACCTTGGAAAATAGCTTGACTCCCTCTTCTTTGGGGCAGCCCCTGAGATATTGGAACACTGCTATCATGTCCCCCCTCGTCCTTCTCTTCATTAAACTAGACATACCCAATTCCAGTAACCATTCTTTATATGTTTTAGCCTCCAGTCCCCTGATCATCTTTGTTGCTCTTCTCTGCACTCTTTCTAGAGTCTCAGCATCTTTTTTACATCGTGGTGACCAAAACTGGATGCCGTATTCCAAGTGTGGCATATATTTCTTAAGACTTTGCCTTATGTGCCGTGGACTTTCTGCAAGTCTGATTTGGTCATCACTCCGTATACACAACGCGCATTAACTAATCCACCGACTGATCCTTAATGACTCTGTTCCTAATACCCAACTAACACTGCCCAACTCTTTGTGATCCCCGCAACAGTCTATACACACACTCTGTTCCCTTCCCCTCCTACCGGCCTCTCGCACTGTGTTTGAGGAAACCACCTCTTGCCAAATTGGCTGTCTCCCAGGGGAATGCAACAGTTATGGTCTAAATCACTTTGATAAAAATCTTACTAGTTTTTCTGGTTTAGCTTCATGCTGGTTTCTGGGGCCACAGCAGCCAGTCGTCTGTTCTGGCCTCACCTCCCTCTCCGTTTCGCCAGCAGGGCCGATTTGATTTAAATCAAGTCCCATTTAAGTCACGCATTAAATCGGGATTTGAATCGCTGGTTCAAAAAGGCTCGATATAAAAATCGACGCGATTTAAATTGTAATTTTTAAAGAGCAAGCTGTCATCTCTGTCCCGCAGCGGCTCCTCTTCTGACCCGCTGTCGACTCACCGACAATGCCACACACTTTAACGGGACGGCTGGTGGTGCGGCAGTGACACCACAAGGTGAGGGACGTGGCGGGCAGCAGGAGAGTGGACGCCCGCTAACGGGCGCTGCCAGGATGGATCTGAAACGACAGCTGCTCTTTAAACGTAAGGACTCATTCTTGCTGGGAGCTAGAATCTTTAATATTATTATTTGCAAACAAAATGAAGGTATCCGGTTTAGAATAATAAGCTGCCGGGTTAGTAAAATGGCAATATCAGAACCGATGTTAGCTTAATAGGTTAATCCACACATAGTTGGAGAACTACTTAAATTCTTTTATTTAACTAAAACACTCAGAGCCTGAGGGATAGAATCAAGATCACGTGAAGTGTTAATACCACTTTACAAGGCCTTGGTAAGGCCACACTTGGAATCCTGCATCCAGTTTTGGTCACCACGATGTAAAAAAGATGTTGAGATTCTAGAAAGAGGACAGAGAAGGGCAACAGAGATGATCAGGGGACTGGAGGCTAAAACATATAAGGAACGGTGGCTGGAATTGGGAATGTCTAGTTTAATGAAGAGAAGGACGAGGGGGGACAGGATAGCAGTCTTCCAGTATCTCAAGGGTTGCCCCAAAGAAGAGGGAGTCAAGCTATTCTCCAAAGCGCCTGAAGGCAGGACAAGAAGCAACGGATGGAAACTGATCAAGGAGAGAAGCAACCTGGAACTAAGGAGAAATTTTAGGACAGTGAGGACAATTAACCAGTGGAACCACCTGCCTCCAGAAGCGGTGAATGCTCCAACACTGGAAGTTTTTAAGAAGAGACTGGACAGTCGTTTGTCTGAAATGGTGTAGGGTTCCTGCCTGAGCAGGGGGTTGGACTCGATGACCTTCAAGGTCCCTTCCAACTTTATTATTATTATTATTATTATTATTATTATTATTATTATTATTATTATTATTATTATTATTATTATTATTATTATTATTATTATTATTATTATTATTATTATTATTCGAACCACGGGAAAGCAACCAAATATCCTTTCCTGACTGATTAAATGGATGTATGGGGAAACTGTGTTATTAGCATACTGCTCAGCTGTTTCTCAATTTACAGCTCAGGAAGTAAATGGGTTCTTATCAAACACTTGACGTAAAAAAAACCCTCTTTCATACCGGGACTGAACAAACCACAATCAAATATATTGGGGGGGGGTGTCACAGGGCATTGTTCTGGAGAGCTCAATTCACCACACAAAATACACTCCCCAATGGGCTTTTCAAGCTTTCTCCGTTGTAATTAGGCTTTAAAATAACTTCTGCTGACACAACAAAGGTGGTTATTTTAACACCTGATTGCAGCACATGGGGGGCTGCCCTTTCAAACCAGTGATCTCATGAACGCTACCCAGTTAAGCTTAGAGCTTTAAAATAACCTTGCTAAAAACAATGGAGGTTGCTTAAAAGAATATGAAAGGCAGAAGAATTATCAATTAAGTGATAATACCTTTTCTTTCCCCTCCCCCCCAAGGATGTGGGGGCAGAGCAGATTTTGAAAAAAATGAGAAATCCTTTAAAAGAGCTTGCAAGAAAGCTGGGAAGTTTCTGGTGTGTGTGTGTGTGTGTGTGTGAGAGAGAGAGAGAGAGAGAGAGAGAGAGAGAGAGAGAGAGAGAGAGAGAGAGAGAGAGAGAGACTCAACGTACAACTGCAACTGGGACTGAAAAATTCATTGTTCAAGGGGTGTGGTTGTTATGCAAGACATCATATGACGACAATTTGCAACCTTTCCTACTGGATTTCCCATTAACCATGTTTGTCGGAAGTTGGCTGGGAAGGTTGCAAACGATGATCACGTGACCATGGGATGCTGCAACTGTTGTAAGCACAAG